TATTTATCATAGTTAGTCTGGTCTTATCCTCTGCCTCCAAAAGTAGGTGATGACTAATGCTTCCAAGGAAGGAAGGCTAACAGAACCTCAGACATCCACAGCTGATTTCAGTCAGGGTTTTTTTTTTTTAATATTATTCATCATTTTATCCCTTCTATTTTAAGTTGCCATTCTTGAAAAAATGATCTTACTCTGTCATCCACCATTTCGCAAAAGGTAGCTGAAAAATTGAAGAGAATTCAGAGTAAACGTACATGAAAGAATTGAGAAGTCTGCCCTTTACAGGGAGTTTAATTGATACTTAATTTAAATGTTTTAATTTGATTTAACCAACGACCTGGCTGTGTTCTGAAAGGATCTGCATAAGTAAGAGTGGCAGGTCTGTAATGCAGATGACAGGAGCATAACAAAATGCAATGGTTGGAAGCAGAGCTAGCTAAATTTAAAGCCAGACATACAGGAGAAGTTGTAATTATGGTGCTTAATTGCTTGTCCAAACAATTTACCTAATGCAGTGTTGGATTCTCCAACACTTGCATTGTTTCAATTGAGGCTATGTGTGCTTCATAAATATTCTTTAGCTCAACAGAAGCTTTGTGGAGCAGTAGTTGGGTACAGTTCAGTGCAGAAGGGCTGGTCGAGATGGTCAGTGAGAAAGGCTTTCAAAGCAGTGACGTAAAGAAGATTTAGGGGATTTTTTTTCTGGGATGGGGCAGTGAATTTGGGAAGTGGGTATTGCCAGAGTGGTCAGTGAGTAAGGACTCACAGGAAAAGCTTGTAGCAGTCAGATCAGGGACAGAGCTGTTAGTAGTTACTGCTGACCAGGGATGGCTATGGGACAGTGGCAGGCAGAATTTCAGAAGGCTTCAGCCAAGACAGGGAGACATGGCACTGATGAGGAAGCAAAAGGTTGTTGACCCTCTGGGAGGGTTCCCAGGGACAGGGGCTCTGCTAATGAAGGCTTTTCCAACCTTGCTGTGTTAAATGTTGCATGGCTAGATTTATTCAGGTTTGCCAGGAAGGGGCTCATTGAATGCAAACCACATCTGAAGAATGATTTGATTGGAGCAGAAATGTGGGGGCAGCTGTATATTTAACCTATAGGTTAACTTTTCAGTGAAAAATAACTTTTTATGGAAGAAAATACCTCAAAAGTGAAAGGTGTGTTTGCTGGAGGGCCAGAAAAGCACTGCCATTATCTACTGGAGATTCTCATTCAAGTGCAGGAACCACAGTGACGCAGAGACGGTGACATAAGAGTAAGTTTAGAGTAAGGGGATTAGTTATAGGCCCAGGTTTCTCTGTCCTGTTTGATTACTTGCCTACATCACAAAATGTTTTGCTGCAAAGGAGCTTCTGCCTGAAAATAGGCAATATTGCAGGGAATGGAGAGGGAGCACTGATGGCTTTGTCTGAACTAGCCAGGGTTCTCCACCATGGAGAAGTCTGCAGAGAGGTAGGAGGCTGTGCCTCTCTCCAAAACCCTGTCCCTTACATTCTTCTTTGCTTTTGGCCTTTTACCAGTTGACAAAATGGGGGTAAAATAACAGTAAACCCAGAAGTTTAACTTCAGCTGTTAAAAAGAGGTTAATTCACTTTCTTTTTTTATAATCTTGTAGAGTAGTTAGGCTAAATTTAATTGAGGCTGGGGAGCTGGAGCTGGAACAGATGAGGAAAAGGGAACTTGCTGAAAACACTGTCAAGGCCCAGATAGCAAAAACAAGTAACAGTAAATGCATAACAGAAAATGAGAGGGGGAGAAAGAGGAAGAGAAAAGGCTAACGGGGAAACAATTAGAAAATACCACCACGGCCAAAACAAAGGCGTTAGAGGTTAGCTGAGAGGAAGCGTGCCAGCTTACAGTCAGCAGCTGAGTTACTGCAGGGTGTTCCTCACACTCCCAAGCTGTCCATAGGAGCGTTCTGCTCCTTAAGCTCATTCACTGAAATTCTCATTGTCTTCAGCCGTCCTCAGTGCTGTGCAACCTGGCTGCTGAGGCAGACATTCTTGGTTTGTGCATCGTGCAACCCATCCTTGCCATCAACCTGGCAGACCATGAGAGCTGAGTGGGACCAAGGCATGCTGCCTGGGAGGTGGTTAAGGAACGTTCCAGAACAGCAATGGTGATAATCTAGTCAGTACTGGGATTTTTTTTTTCCCCTTGTTTCCTTTGAATCAGAATGGAGATAATGTCCAGGATCTGAGGGTGCTCATGCAGCAGGATGCTCTTTCATATGAAATATCAAGCCAGAGGCTGAAAACCTGTTAGAATTAAACTCCAGGATGCTTTTAGCAATGGGTAAGGTGCAGTTGTCTTCTCATGTAATAACTCTGAAGAGTGAAGACTTGTTCTGTTTTGCTCTTAGGGCTGAGTGCCCTCATTGCTTTCTGATCTTAAAACCTAGATAGTTGCTTGAATTTTATTGCTGCTTTTACAGTTTTGAAGGATGTGGGAGGAGGAAGCGTCAGTGTAGGTGAATGTTACTGATGGAGTGACAGTCATTTTCAGGGTTGGTGTTGTTAATGGGAAGTACCAGGCAGAGGGACCGTGGTTCCTGTGCCCTCAGCCTCCACCTGTCATGGCTGGTTTGCTCCCCAGCCCTGTGGGGAGGATCTGCCTTTCACTTCTTGCTTTCAGAATGATGCTCTGCAGTCTTACCATAGATTTGGATGATAGGCAGACAGAGGAGGAAAGTCACATCCTTGCAGCTCAGCCTTGGATACTTGTCCATCTCCAGGCTGCCCCTGCCATGCTCCTGTCTGCCTCATTTCTAGCCAGCCTGTGTCTTTTTTTCACTGGTATTGAATTCCTAGTGCAGCTGGCTCACTTTCTAGTATTAGAAATTGTCAGACTACTGTCTGCATGTCAAACAGTCAGACTGCATGGCCAGGAAGAGACAAAACTGTTGGGACTAATGTTTGGCACTTGCCAGTTTCTCTCTCGTGCAAGGAGTGATGGAGGTGGAAGATGACTATAAATTGTCTACTTTCTGGTGTTGGGTCAGCCATTGGGACTCAAAGTAGAAATTACTCCTGAAGTGGGAAACCTGTTACCTGAAGTAAATTTATCATGCTGGAATAAGCACTTGTGTATATCCATCAGTTTAAACAGTCACTGCTGTTAAGTGGAAGTTCTGTTCTTGCACTACTATGTGGAGACCTTGATCCTTTCCCCTGACTGACTCAGCATTGCCAATAACAAATTGGTAGGACATGGTTATCCATATACAGGAACCCACAGGAATACGTTCTCTAGTTTATACCCAAGAGTCTTCATTTGCTGCTTTGATAAAAGGACTCAATGGAATTTGTTCCACCATGAAGCTTGTAGGATGCAGCCAGGATAAGCTGGCAAAATACCTCTGCTCCTAATTCCTGAGAGCTTAGTCTTGACATTTCTAGTGATGTGTGAGCCCAAATTAGGAAATAAAAAAGGGAAACAGTGTCCTATCTGCTTTGTTTTCTCTAGGGCAGACTTAAATATGATATCAGGTATGTCTTCTGCCTGCCTAAATGGTCTTTGTAATCCTGGGGGCTGGTTGAAGAGCTCAGTGTTCCTTGTTTCTTGGAGAACTATGTGTGCATGGAAGTCTTAGCTGTGAGGCACTAGGGATATGCCCAGACAGGCTGGGAGTGGCCCCTCTGAGGGGGTCTGCACCTGCCAAAAGGCCACCTTTCATCTTCCCCCTTTCTGTTTCCCACCCTGCGCTCGGGTAACCGTTCACACCGGTACAGTCCTTGGTGGCATGCCCAGCAGAGCTACAACTCTCTTGCAGCTCAGCCCCAGCAGATTGCATTTACTGCTGCAGTTAGAGACCACCTCTGTGTGAATCCAGCAGCTCCTCTGCTTTGTCCTGTTGTTCCCGGGTGGAAATGCCTTTCTGCCATGGCAGTCTGCTCATGTCTCCCATGGTTTGGTGCACTGATCTGTTTCCATGAGCAAAACAAATCTTTCCTGTTTGGGTCACAGCTGCCTGCTGGCTTTGGTGGCCTTGAGGAGTTCTGACAGCAAAGCAGTGTGTGGGCAAAAGTGACAAAGTGCTCAAGAGCTCCAAAATTAGCATTAGCTTTTGTCTGTATGGGGTCTTAATTTCTCCAACACTTCTCAAATCCAGCTCCATAGGATCATCTGATGGTACTGTGGGACTGTCGTTGCTACCCAGCAAGTATGGTTTGTGTGTGGTGAAAAGCACTTGTTTATTGCAATGAACAGGATTTTTATGGGCAACATTTTCAGTAGCATCTGAGTCCAGTTCTCAAAAGTGATGTAGGCTTTTAAGAGGCCAAAGCCAAGATTTTCATAAATAAGTAATGATTTGGGCTGCCTCTGTTTTTTGTTACACAAGTCAAGATGTCTAAAAGGAGCCTGGTTGTCAGCAGTTGTGGGATTCTGGCATTTTTTCAAAATTGATATGCTTTTAAAATGTCTTAAGCTGGGCATTCAGAAATGGAGGCATCAAGAATGATTAGCTGCTTTTGAAATCCTTTTTCTTAAAAGTCTGAATGAAAATCACTGGGGCATGGGGTCCTAAATGACATGTGAAAAAGTGCTAAAAGTGTATTTTGGAAGTGTCTACCTATCTGTGACTAGACTTGTCCCCAGAGCACCTGCACTGTTGTACTTTAATGTACTCACAAAAGCCTAATAGGGAAAGGCAAATACATCACTACTGTGCTGAATGGGTGGTGGGATTGATGGGCTGCTTCAGGGTATCAACCTATCTCTGCTCTGGTTTGAAGAGGGAAAAAACAATGCTTTTTGTAGGCACCAGCAATAAGCTAATCAGCAACTCTGACCTGCTGGGAAAAGAAAGACAAGTTTGTATCTAAAGTCCTATACATTAGGAGCAATATTGTCTAAAGTGAAGCATGCACCAGTTAAACATATTAAAGGGTTTTGTAGGTTTGGTTTCATAAACCAGCAGAATAGTAGGAATCCAACTGTTGTTTCCCCAGCCTAAATTCCTAATGCCCGTGTGACTTTTTGCCTCTCCTCTCAGATCTGAACCATGTCCCACCCGTCCTGGCTGCCACCCAAGAGTACCAATGAGCCTGTTGGTCATGTTACTGCAAGGATGGAGACCACGCACACCTTTGGGACTCCCAGCATCTCAGTGTCTACCCAGCAGACTCCAAAGAAATTTGCACCTGTCGTTGCCCCCAAACCAAAGTACAACCCATACAAGCAACCGGGAGGTGATGGTGAGTATTTGTTTTTTTAGGAAGGAACCACAACTAATTCAGAGAAACTGGCTGCTAACACAGGTTGTTCCTGACTTGGTCTTTGTTGGTGAGTTTGTGGGAGCCTCCCTGTTTCAGATCATTCATATCAAGAAGAATGTGAAGGTATCTCCTACCCTTGCTCTGGCTGCCTACCCTTCTGAGAGGTGTAGGGCTGGGGGAGGACATGGGGACAGGTGTTTCTTGGTTTTAATTGGAAGCAGATCTCCCATGTCCAAGGCTGATACTTTTGAAAGGAAGCTTGTTAGTCTCTGCTGGCATGTGATGATTCAAGGAGCCTGGGCTCGAACAACCCTTTTCAGTATTGATCTATGGGAATATGGGTATAATTGGGGGTTGTAGGGCCTAAGTTTGGCAGAATGAATTTGAAAGTGCTTCCTCTTCTGGCTGGATTGTTTTATTCTTTTCCCTCTACTATGAAACACTCTTGAATATGAAATAATTCAAAGGATATTTATATGACCATTGCAATAGCCTCTGAAACTGTTATGTTAGCAAAACAAATGCCTGCCAGTCACTGTGTGTTGACCTTCTTCTACCTTCTGCTGTAAAAGTCCTCCTTTCTTCATGTGATTGAGCAGCAAGCATGGGATTTGGGTTCCTGGCTTGTGGACACTTGGGGGGAGGGAGTTCCCAGCATCAGGAGTGCATGGTTGGAAGCACCTCTGGGGTTTTCAACTGGAAACCTGCCAGTTGCAGCACCCCAGATGCCCCTGGCTGACACTGGAAAGTGTGTGATGGAACCTTACTGCAGCAGAAACAAGGAGAAAGCCAAGGATTTTAGGAAAGAGGGGTAGCTGTCTTGGCAAGGCATGACCTTTCTGTTTGTGGTGATTTACTATGGTTAGAAATGGGTGGAACACTCTTCCCCTCCTCCTCTGCAACCCTCCCTCAAAAGAAAAGCTTAGTTGTATTAAAGAAAATTGCCCAAACAGCTTTCGTATATGATTTTGGATGCTCTACTTTGTTCCATTGTCATGTTTTCCTCTTTTGTATTGAGTACAATAAGTTAAATATCATCTGTATATTTTTTCCTCTTACTGCTCTATCTTTTGTAAGTTGTATACATTTTCAGGAAGACTACAGAATAATGGAAAGGAGAAATAAAAACAAAGGAGCACATTAAGTCTTGCACTTGAGTGATTTTGTGAAGTGAAGGATAGCTTGTAGGAAAGTTGGAGAAGTCTGAGTGTTTTGGTTTTTTTCCTCTGCCACGCTAATTTCAGAGAATTCAGAACAAAAAAAGAAAATGTGTTGGAGGGGGAAAAGCGAAGTCTTAAGCACCTGTTCTGCTGCCTTCAGTAACAAAACTTAGCGAGAAATAGGAAGAGAAAGACATTTGGAATTTTAAAAGTAAAAAATAATCCACTTCTGAAATGCAGTGAAAATGTCACCTTCAAGTCAAGTGGAAATTCTTATTTTTCTGACTCTCTTGAAATTAAAAATAATAATGGAAAATAACCCTTTTTTTTCCTAGGAAAACTGTTCTCGATCAATCACTTATTTTTGGGTGAAAAAAGTCAGTATGTCTTGTCAGTGCTTTAGTGATTGTGGGTCTGATTATATGTGACTCAGGAACATTATCACCCTCTAAAAATTCTGTGTTTCTTGGCATTTGGGGAAGGAGGCTTTCCCAAAGAGCACAGCAGGCACTGCAGGCTGAGAAGGGGAGACAAGACACACAAACATTTCTGATGCAACCCTGAGTGTCTGGTCCCACAAACAGTCAGGCATCACCGGGTCTGTTGGAAACTGGGAGACAATCAGGAACTCATAGGGGGACTTCATCAGTGCCAGTCCCTTGCCTTGTCTGATGCTGGGCATTTGGGGATCCTGTCGTTATCTGACAGGCCTGGAAGAGCTAAGGGTTGGCCAGGACCTGGTCAGAGACAGGCTTAGTGATGTGACAGCGTGCCTGCAGCTTAAGCTAATCCACTTTCAAAAGGTGACATGCTGCTGGTCGCTGTCAGCAGCCCGTGCAAAGCCATTACCCAGCCATATATAACCCTGAGAACATGAGGCTTCTGGGATCTGGCAGGCGAGAGCAGAGCAGTGAGAAATATTTAGCCCAATGTGCTTCATTCACTTTCTATGGCTCCCTTCTCCAGGCTTCCTAATTGTTTTTTCAATGACCTCCCTGCTTTTGCAGCAATAATTCATCCTGGGAGACAGCTCCGTGCCCCGCTGGTTCCCTGCGTACGGGGGCGCTGTGAGTCATTTTGCCTAAATTTGTTCTCTGTTGGTCACGGGTCTTTCCCATCTGGTTGGCTGTGAGTCTGTAGGTGGGAGAGCTCCAGGATCCCCTCACACCCCGGTGTGTTTTCATCCCTCCTACCCTGCCAGAGCTGCTTTGCTGGAGGAACATGGGGTCTACCTGCTTCCTTCTGCCGGAGATGAGTGGGAGCAGCGGCGCCGCTCAGGGGAAGGGCTGTGATGGGGCAGAGGGTCACTGTGCACGTCACAGCATTGCCTGCCCCAGCAGTGTTGCTGGAATTGGTTCCCTGCAGCCTTTGACAGCTGGAATAGTATCTGGAATCTCTCTGGGAGGCTGGTGAATTTTGTTCCTGGTAATTTCTTCAGCCTGTTGCTTTTAACATTCAAGATTATGCATCCTCTGGCCTTGTGTTTCTTTATTATTATTTTGTTGGTGTGTTGCTTGCATATGGAGGGTCTGTCTGGCTGATCACATTTGTGATTTTATTTCTTGATCATATTGAAAGCACAGGGAAAAGACACTGGAGTGACAATGGAGCAGGTACTGTGTGCACATGTAGGGGGAGTGACCGTATCCCTCTCTCCCTCCCACCAAAGCATTTCCTTGATCTCACCTTGACTTTGATTTTATTTTTCTTTTCCTGACACCTGCACAAAAATCAGCCAGAAGGTGCTGATTAAAAGCTACTTAATGGAACTTTAAAGGAAGTTAGAAATGGTTACATGACTGAAAAAAGTGAAATCACAACAGCCAACAGTTTATAAACCAGCAGCGTTTTAATGTAATTTGAAGCACTCAATGCGTGTGTGGTTTAGACCAGTGAAGTGAGCAATTTTGCTGGTGCTGCCAGCCCCCTCCTTGCTATTTGCCGTGCTGAGTTGCTGCAACTTGTTTCAGGCTATATTTATCCACTCATCAAAGCAGAGACCATTTCTTTCTATTGCAGAGATCTGTTTTGGGGGCCCCTGGGTATGACTGCAGTAGTGGTAGAAATAATAATGATAATCATCATTATCATCATCAGTAAGACCAGCTCTGCCTAACATTCTGCACAGGTCTCTGCCATGCAGAGAGCTGAAAAGGCGGGCACAGCTGTGTTTTTATAAGTCCTACAAACACCAGACCAGACTTCATGTGCTGTGGTCTGGGCTGGGTTTCTGGAGGATTTAATGCTTCCATTCCCTGCTGTGATGGTTTGCAGGGGATTAACCTTGCCTGATCCTGGGAGGCGTGAACACCAAAGCTTCTGGGAAGTGCAGGTGCTCGTCATCTTACACAATTCTGTATTTACCCCACAGAGAGAGGAGAGCTGTTTGAGCTTGGGGAAGATGTTTATCTACAAGATGAACAAGTGTGCATTGGGAGGAAGTGTAGCTGCTGATGAGTTAGGCTGGAAATCAAAATTAGATGTCCAGACGTTGAAGCAGGAGCTCTAAAAGAGTTTAACCAGGGTCAAGGTGGTCCTTGGGTGGAGCTAGATGTAGTTTGAAGATTGAGAGCATCTTCTCTTTGTGCTTGGAGAAGATGAGTCCTGAGATGGATGAGGCAGCATCCAGCCATGGGTCCTGACAGTCCACTTCTTATATATTTGGCTTTTTCCATGCTCATGTGTTTGGTGTTATATGTCTCCTCCCTCTGCTCCTCAGCAGACCCTGTCCAGCTCTGTGCGTAGCAGGGTTTGTCCTCTGTACTCACGGACCAAAAAATCTCTTAAGCAAAGTAATGCCTTTTTCCAAGGAGTTCATATGTATTTTGTTTCCTTTAAAAGCATTGGATGCCCCATCACTGAAAGTCCTCAAGGTCAGGTTGGACAGGACTTTGAACAACCTGATCTAGTGAAAGATATCTCAGCTGATGGCAGGGAAGTTGAATTGGATAATCTTTCAAGGTCCTTTCCAACCCAGACCTTTCTGTGATTCTGTGGTTGCCCTTCCTCCTTTCCCTGCCACTTACTTCTCTCCTGCTCTCCAGCTTTTAGACTTAAATTGGTATTTTAGCATCTTCAACAGAGCTGGAGCCTTACGGAAGCGCTGCCACACAGCTGTTCCCATCTATGCTGGGCTCAGGAAGATGGAAAGGATTTATAGCTTGCAGATGAAGCAAATTCCCTTTTCTCCTCTTTTTCCTAGTTCCAGAAAATGGGGCCTCACCCTCAGGGCAGACTAAGGAGGCAACTGGTGTGGAGTGAGGTTGGCGATGGCTGATCCACTGGCTTTGTGCCCACTGCCATGGGGCGGGTGGTGCTGGTGTGGGATTGTGCACTCCATGGCATGGGGAGGAGAGCTGGCAGCTGCTCCCAAACAAGTGCTGCTGAGGCAGGGCAGTTGGGATGTGCTGGGATGTACCAGGGGTTGTGAGGCCAGAAGCAGGGGCTTCAAAAATGTGTAAAAATCTGCTGTCAGTCTTGAGGTTCTCAGAAAAGCCAGAGTCATGGCCACTGGATGGCTTGAGCACAGTGAGTGGCAAGCTTTGCGGTGTGATATGCCTTTTGGTTTGGATCCTTCTGGCTTGAGCTTGTTTTGGTAACCATAAAAGCTGTTTTCCTCTTGCCTTTCCCCCTCCCCTCCAAATAAAGCTCTGCAAGTCCCAGAAAAATGACACTATGCTGATACAGGTGGAGCACAGTGGTGAGCTGGGGAATCTCAACTGGATTGCAGGGTTGGGCTTCCCAGTCCAATATTTGTGAGCACTAGCACACCTCCCTGTGGGTTGAATGCACTCTTCTGCCACTGTGTGCAGTCACTTG